CACAACTGAAGACAATTCCCCTGACCCCCTTCTCCCAGGACCTATCAGAAGTTCAGAGGTGAAGGTTGGGCCCCACGAGTCCCTTCCACTTCCTTGACTGGTTAGGGCTGGTTCTGTGTGGGCCTGGGGCAGGTGATGTGCAGTCATGGTTACAGTGACTGTACTGTGTCTAAAGAACCCTGATTTGGTTTGTCCCATCATGGGTTTGTGGACATTGCCCTTAGGAACAACAGTTATTAGACACACACACACACAGCAATTGATGAGTCCCAAATGCCCTAAGTAATTTTCTTTTTTGAGGGGACTGATTTCGAGGCAGGGTTTCTCTGTGGCTTTGGAGGCTGTCCTGGAACTAGCTCTTGTACACCAGGCTGGTCTCGAACTCAGAGATCTGCCTGCCTCTGCCTCCCGAGTGCTGGGATTAAAGGTGTGGGCCACCACCACCTGGCTCTAAGTAATTTTTGAGGCACCCTTATGTCTCTGCTGACCATGGTGGCTTAGTAACCGTGGATTCGGCCTCTCTTTTTTGTAGAGAAAAGCCTTTTCCTTGCCAGCCGCTTTGGTTTTTCCCCACCAGTCGCCAGGGATCTACCGCATTGTAGTCCCCAAATAACACACAGGACGCTGTATTAATTATGAAGCTGTTGGCTGTTTGCTTGTTTCTTACTGGCTAGCTCTGATTTAAGTATTTAACCCATGTAAGTATTTCTCTTACTGGACGGACATCTTACTTCTCTGGCAGGCTACATGATGACTCCCTGTGTTTCTCCTACCCAGAGTCCTCCTGGACTCCTAGTCCCACCTATCTTGCTTCCCTATTGGCCAACAGTGCTTTATTGACATATACACAGGACTTCCCCATCACTTTTTCTCTACTGAGTCTCCTTCATAGAGAAGGGTTGGACCCTATGCTATTTGGACGCTTGATACCATCTCATCTACCACGTTGGAAGGGCAGAGAAAGCTCAGGCAGGTGGCAGCGACAATGGGAACAGTCACCAATCTAGAGCAGTTGAAGAAAGCCCTGAGTCCCCCGTGTCCCTCTCGTGCTGGGAACCTAGGGCACCCAAGGCCCAGACCTCCTCATGGAAAGAGAACGGGGGCACAGGTCCCCCCACCCAGGCTGGCCTCTTCTTCCAAGACTGGAGCCTGGAGTCCAGCTCTGACGAGGTAGGCCCTGCTCCCAGGAAAGCAGGGGCTTGTCCAGACCTGACCCAGGACCGGGAGGACCTTGTGTGGTGGCTGGCCCTCCATACCAGTGCCTGTACACAAGGCCTTCTGGATCTGGCATTCAGATGAAGTTTTTAGGGTTTGGTAATAGATGACCTGGGTAATGACCTAATGACAAGATGGATTTAGTGACTATCCTGGGCAAGTAATCAGCTACTTCCAACCACAACAGATAAGAGAGTTGGAGGCTCAGAGTGGGAAAGTAACTTGTCCAAGGCCACACAGCTGAAGAATAAAATTCCTGAGATACGAACCCAAGTCCCCGTCCAACTTATAAATGGATCTGTGGAGTGTTAAGTCCTCTGTGCCTCAGTTTCCAACCGTGGCAGAGTGTCCATCACTGAAAGACTGAGGCAAAGCCCACCAAAGGCCCTCAGTCCAGCGTGTGGCCCCATCACTCTTAACTCTGAGACAGCAGAATATCCCAGCTCTTAAAGGGACAGACCCCCAATACCTACTCCAGAGATGGGAGCAGGTACCAACAGGATTCAGCTTAAGACCTGTGCCTGTACTGTCCAACCTCAAGAACACTGTGTGCCCAGCCTGGGCTAAAAGACACAGGTTCCTGCTCTGGGGCTGCCCCAGAGTTTTACCACCTCAGCACTATTGACTTAAGGGTCCCTGTTTCTGGGGACCACCTTGTGCTTTGTGGGATGCTGGCCTTGGCTTCTGCCTGCCCACCCCTCTCATGGGCTGTAGCAATCAAATACTTCTGAAAAATTGCTAAGTGTCCCCTAGGGCAAGACCCCCTAGGAAGCAGCCTTGCTGTGCAAACAGGGACACTGAGGCAAGGGGAGGCCAACGCTGAAGGCCGACGCTGAAGGCCAACGCTGAAGGAGACCAACGCTGAAGGCCAACGCTGAAGAAGGCCAACGCTGAAGGCCAATGGCGGCAGCGCTGGGCACAGCTGCTCTTGGAGAGTGATGATATACTTATCTTGGCTGTTTAATGCATCTGTCACTAGGCAGGCAAAACGGGCAGGTCTGCATGTCACTGTGTAGAAATTTTCACAGAGAAGTGTAGGTAACACACAGTTCAATGTCAGGCTGAGAGAAATGGGTTTTGTTTGGGAGTCTGATGTTTTGTGCTGACAGCCGCAGAAAAGCCTAGTCACGGGAAGAGGGTGACACCCCAGCCTAGTCACGGGAAGAGGGTGACACCCCAGCCTGGCCTGTTGTTCAGGTTCACAGTGCAGCAAGGGGGCAGGGTGAGCTCTCGCTCCTCGCTTGGCCAGTGCGTGCCGAGCCTCTGCCTGTCACATGCACTCGCCTTGTCGCATTCGATGCCACTCCCTGAGCTGGAGCAGGGTACACAGAGAAGGTGAGGGTCAGCTCTCTGACATGGCACTTACAGATTATGAGCAGCAATGGGCACATCTGCACATGTATGCACACACATACACACATATACACACATGCACATATATGCACACACACATATACACACATGCACACATATACACGCACGCATACACATACACACACAAACACTCATGCACACATATACATACATACACATATATGCACACACACATACACACACACAAACACACTCATGCACACATGCACATACACACTCACATACACACACGACTCATACAGGACTGGAATGAGATGTCAGTATCCCCAAAGTACAGCAGTACAATGCAGGATTTGAAGATGGCATGGCCCTTGTATCTAGGGAAAGCAGAGATGATGTCAGAGAGGGGAGGGGACCACAGCATAGGCCTGGTTTTCATGGGCTGTTTTGCTTCAGGGGAGTGAGAGGTTGGTTGGTAGGTTGGTTTTATATTATGTATTGATTTGTGTATGTGTGTGTGTGTGAGAGAGAGAGAGAGAGAGAGAGAGAGAGAGAGAGAGAGAGAGAGAGAGAGAGAGAGAGAGAGAGAGGATGTTGCAAAGGTTCTCTTGTCCTGCTTAGGTCATGCCACCACTTCAGCCCCAAATAAAACTGCTGACCCATGACTAGGGCTTCTCACTGGCTGGCCCTGTCTTAATTATTAACCCATTTCTATTAATCTATGTATTTCCACGTGGTCTTATCTTATTCCTTTGGCAGCTGCATGTCACCTGTTCATTGGCTGGCTCTCTCTGCCTGCCTTTCCCAGAATTCCCCCTGGTCCTGCCTCATTAGCCACAATGTTTTATTCATCAAACAATAAGAGAAGCTTATATACAGAAGGACATCCCCCATCAAGAGGACAACTTGGTGGAGTCAGTTCTCTCCTTCCTCGTTTATGCGGGTGCCAGGGGTCAAACTCAGGTCACCAGACTTTACCCACTAATCCCTCTCACCAGCCCTCAAGCTGTCTTCTTGACCCCGGGGAACTAGATGGTAAAGCAGAGGCCTTGGGCCCAAAAGTTCATATTCCCCTCCCGATCTTAAGACACATCCAGGACATCTGTGCCCGTGGGAAAGTGACCTGCAAGATCTCCCACTGGGCTTTCTGTCATTATCAAATGATCCTTAGCATTCATCTGACATTTATGCCTGTTATTTTTAGTTTTGTGTATGTGGCAGAGGAGGGGTGGATATATGTACATGAGGGCATTGCTATCAGAGGTGTGTGGCTGTGCAGCTGTGGGTATATGCATATCAGAGGCCATGGGCAGCAGATTCCCTGGAATTTGAGTTACAGATGGTCAGGACGCTGGGACTCAAACGCAGATCCTCTGTAAAAACAGCAAGTACACTGAATGCCCCTCACACCCCCCATGTTACTTTTTAACACACTTAAGATCTCATGATGAGAGAGCAGAAGAATCTGGGTCCAAATCCTGCTTCTGCCGTATACTATTTTTATAATTTTATTTATTTATTTTATGTGTTTGGGCGTTTTACCTGCATATATGTCTGTGCACCACATGTGTGCAGTACTCACAGAGCCCAGAAGAGGGCTCTGGTTCCCCCTGAAAAAGGAGTTGCGGACAGTTGTGAGCACTGGGAATTGAACCCTGGTCCTCTAGAAGATCAGCCAGTGCTCTTAATCACTGAGCCATCTCTCCAGCCCCTCATATACCAAGTTTCACTGTTCAGCAGAGCTGATGACACTTCCTTTGGTATATGGGGCTGGGAGGTGGTGTCTCGTAAAGCCCAAGCTGGCTTTGAATTCCTGACCCTCCTGCCTCAGCCTCACAAGTGCTGGGCTTACACGAGTATGTTTCCACATCTGGCGCCAGTGGAGTGAAAAACACTTAATAGGGTTGACATAACAGTGAGATGTGAACTGTGCTTGTTGCTATCATCCAGCATCCCAGGACTTGGGAGGTAGAGGTAGGAATGTTGGGAGAGGCCCCAACCTGGGTAACAAGGTGAGATCCTGTCTACAAAAACAAAAGACAATGAGATAAGACGTCAAAAGTGCTTGACTCAGCACTCAACCCTGGGCAGCAGCCCTGCACCCCAGAGCTATGCCCACATTCACACTCGGCCTATCTTTATGAGGTAATGCTTTATTGATAGGCAACCATAGCTACTCATCCTCATTTTGTCCAGGCTGCAAAGCTGCATGGCGGCAACACGATGCACCAGCCAACAACACGCTTACTCTCTGGGTTTTTGTAGAGAAAGTTTGCTCGTCGACAAGCTTGAAACTGTGCGTTCTCTAGCCTCGGTTTTCACATCTATGTCATAAATGGGTTCGCAGAAATTATCTCTTTAAACTCGGGTCGGCCGTGAAGTAACTGGTGAGATGTCAAAATGCACTCGAACGCTGCGATGACCATGTGTGCTTTGCTGGGTGCCGACTGAGCCCTCTCTTCTCCCTACAGATCCTGGCCATCATCTCCATCATGTTCATCGTCCTCTCCACCATTGCCCTGTCACTCAACACACTGCCTGAGCTGCAGAGCCTGGATGAGTTCGGCCAGAGCACGGATAACCCGCAGCTGGCGCACGTGGAAGCGGTATGCATCGCGTGGTTCACCATGGAGTACTTGCTGAGGTTCCTATCCTCACCCAAAAAATGGAAGTTTTTTAAGGGCCCTCTCAACGCTATTGACTTACTGGCCATCCTGCCCTACTACGTCACCATCTTCCTCACAGAGTCCAACAAGAGTGTGCTGCAGTTCCAGAACGTGCGCCGCGTGGTCCAGATCTTCCGCATCATGCGTATCCTTCGCATCCTGAAGCTGGCCCGCCACTCCACCGGCCTACAGTCCCTGGGTTTCACACTCCGCAGGAGCTACAATGAGCTGGGCTTGCTCATCCTCTTTCTCGCTATGGGCATCATGATCTTCTCCAGCTTGGTCTTCTTTGCCGAGAAGGATGAGGATGACACCAAGTTCAAAAGCATCCCTGCCTCTTTCTGGTGGGCCACCATCACCATGACAACCGTTGGGTATGGAGACATCTACCCTAAGACTCTCCTGGGGAAAATTGTGGGGGGTCTCTGCTGCATCGCCGGGGTCCTAGTGATCGCCCTTCCCATTCCCATTATTGTCAATAACTTCTCGGAGTTCTATAAGGAGCAGAAGAGGCAGGAGAAAGCCATCAAGCGGAGAGAGGCTCTGGAGAGGGCCAAGAGGAACGGCAGCATCGTGTCCATGAACATGAAGGATGCCTTCGCCCGGAGCATCGAGATGATGGACATTGTAGTTGAGAAAAATGGAGAGAGCACGGCTAAAAAGGATAAAGTGCAGGATAACCACCTGTCTCCCAACAAGTGGAAATGGACCAAGAGGGCACTATCTGAGACCAGCTCCAGCAAGTCCTTTGAAACCAAGGAGCAGGGGTCCCCTGAGAAGGCCAGATCGTCCTCTAGCCCGCAGCACCTGAACGTCCAGCAGTTGGAAGACATGTACAATAAGATGGCCAAGACACAGTCCCAACCCATCCTCAACATGAAGGAGATGGCACCGCAGAGCAAGCCAAAGGAAGAACTGGAGATGGGAAGCATGCCTAGCCCTGTGGCCCCTCTGCCCACACGCACAGAAGGTGTCATCGACATGCGAAGCATGTCCAGCATTGACAGCTTCATCAGCTGCGCCACGGACTTCCCTGAAGCCACCAGATTCTCCCACAGCCCTCTGGCATCCCTGTCCAGCAAGGCGGGGGTTGGCACAGCTCCAGAGGTAGGCTGGCGGGGGGCTCTGGGTGCCAGTGGTGGGAGACTCATCGAGGCCACCCCCACTCCCGAGGGCAGCCGCTCTGGTTTCTTCGTTGAGAGCCCCAGGAGTTCCATGAAGACCAGCAACCCCATGAAGCTCCGGGCACTCAAGGTCAACTTCATGGAGGGTGACCCCAGCCCGCTGCTGCCCTCTCTAGGGATGTACCACGATCCTCTTAGGAACAGAGGAGGCGCAGCAGCTGCGGTCGCGGGACTGGAGTGTGCCTCACTCTTAGACAAGCCTGTGCTGAGCCCAGAGTCCTCCATCTACACCACAGCAAGTGCCAGGACACCTCCTCGCTCCCCTGAGAAACACACAGCAATAGCATTCAACTTTGAGGCGGGCGTCCACCAGTACATAGATACGGACACAGACGATGAGGGTCAGCCGCTCTACAGCGTGGACTCCAGTCCTCCCATGAGTCTCCATGGGAGCACCAGCCCCAAGTTCAGCATTGGAACTAGAACAGAGAAGAACCATTTCGAAAGCTCTCCCCTGCCCACCTCTCCTAAGTTCTTAAGGCCTAACTGTGTCTACTCCTCAGAAGGGTTGACTGGGAAAGGTCCCGGAGCCCAAGAAAAGTGTAAGCTGGAGAACCACACCTCCCCCGATGTGCACATGCTGCCCGGAGGAGGAGCGCATGGGAGCACTCGGGATCAGAGCATCTGAGCTGTCCACAGCAGAGGGGAGTTTGCAGGAGAAATCAAGGAGTGGGGGAGCTTGGCTTGCTGTCGCTGAGTTCTGCATGACCTCGGAGACACAAGGCCACCACAGAGCCCCAGCAACAGGAGAGACCCTGAGAGCCATGACAGGTCTATGGATACATAATCAGCCAAGCCACAGGGACCGTACCTCCAAACAGCACCTTCCTGAGATGACATGAGCAGAGCTCACAGCCACTAAGACCCAGCCTTGGCCACCTACTTCCTAGTCCCCTCTTGAGGCTCTCCCAGTCTCTGAGTATGCCATCTCCCACTCCTGTGGCTTCAGCTAGAGGAGGGCGTTGGAGCAAGGAGCTGCTAGTGAAACTGTGGATTGATCAAGTAGTACTGGGTGTCGCCTAGCATCCGCCAAGAGCGCCTGCCCTCTAAGGCAGGGTCTTACTGCTAGAAGGGTAGAGGGGGCACTTTGATCATGAGGAATTTGCCATTCCATCAGCCATGGCCCCAGTGTTATAACCTTTAACCAAGCAAGCGGCTTGACTGGTTCAGTATTCTGTGCTACCCAGGACTTTCTTCTGAGACGCTATCGGGGTGAGCTGACAATTTGGACTCGATTCTTTCTGCCCACCTGGCAATCAAGGAAGGGTTCAGATGGTTGGCACAGAGCCAAGGGGATAAACCAGACCACCGCTTTTCGGGCTGTCACAGGAATGAGAGTTCCAAACAGTACCAGCCTGGACTCAAGAGATACGTGAGCGTCAAATATGCAAACAAGATAGATTATTCAGAGAGACTGTGTTACTGAGGAACAGCATTAAAAAATAATAAATTTCATTTTCTACATGAAAAAAAGGAAAAAAAGCAAAAAAAAAAAAAGCCCTCACTGAACTGCCCTGTGCAGGCTTCTGACTACTTTTTGTTGTGTTGGGGAACACGGGAACATACCTACTATGGGAGAAGTTCTTTTTTTCTTTTTGTTTGTTTGTTTCTGTGGTATTCAAGCTAAAAAAAATAATAAGTTAATAAAAAGCACTTTATGTTTTTCTAATCTAGGTTCTACCAGGGACAGTGTCAAGATCTCGCACTTTAAAACAAGCACTATTTCCCGTGGGCCGCATGGTGGCCCTGCACTTGGGGCCACAGTGGGTCTCACTGTCACATTAGAGTCTGTGGCTCCTCCATGGCCCCTCAAGATCACCCCTCATCCCTGATGGGTCAGGAGGGGTCCTCAGCCCTCGGGGAAGGGCTCTCTTAGAGCCCTGTGTGCAAGAGACTCACATGTCTCTGACGGGCGCAGCGACTGGGGTCGGGTATTGTACTGTTCTTTCTCGTCAACCAGCCATTGTGTGTTCTGTGTCACTGTCTGTCCTGAAAGCCCGATGCTCCTTCCCGCAGCCATCTAGGCAGACGGCACAGCCAAAAGCAATAAGTACTCATGTGTATCCCTAGAGGTTCTGATGTACTTCCTGGTGTCAGTCTCCCTGTCCTAGCGTGTTGACCTGGCGTTGTCCTACCTGTAACCCAGTGGCACAGTGTTGTTGGTCCTTCTTCAGTGACACCAGTCGGCATGACGCTGTAGTGATGGCTTGTCTTTCAGTGAGGATAGTGTTACTGGTCAGCCTGTCTGCAGTACGATGGGGCAATGTGGTTTTCTTACTATGGTGTTAGTGGATAATGTCCCAAATGCTGTAGTGTCCTCCTCCCTGTCCTCAGAACAGTGACAGGCATGTGTCTTCCTGATGGAGCAATGACATGATATTGATCACCTGTCCTCAGTATAATTTATGGCTGGTCTGCCCAACAGTTCAATGGCATGGTCCACCCATCAGCACACTTACATCCATGTTCTGCCTCTTGTTTCCATGACTGAGATCAGGTCACCCGTCACAGGTGGAATGCTAAAGGGTTATCACGCCAACCCTAAACAAAGCATTTTGTACAGTTCATGACACTCCTTGGTATCTCCAGGGACCAGGGTCCCCTCCCTCCAGGGGGTGTACCCCAGGGTCCCCTCCCTCCAGGGGGTGCAGTCCAGGGTCCCCTCCCTCCAGAGGGTGCAGCCCAGGGTCCCCTTCCTCCAGAGGGATATACCTTGGTGTTTGCTGTGAATGAGGAAAACTGAGACTTTGACTGTCTCAGGGCCTCAGAACGTTCTCGAAACAGATGCAAAGGGGCTGAGACAGTGAAGGTTCTAGACAGCAGTGCCCTGGGAACAGGAAGCAGGGGGACTCCAGAGCCCCCTGCTGAGCTCAGGCTGGTGCTAGGGCCTGTTGACGTGACTGTGGGACCACTCTGTTGACCATCGTTCGTGTTTCTTTGTTTTTTCTTCACCATAGACGTCACCCAGCAGCACAAATGTGAAAATTCAGGGAAAACAAACAAATGCTTTTTGATAAAAAGAAAATAGTTGTGATTTCCGATTCAGATATTTTTAGAACTATCTGTAAAAACTCCTACTGATGATATAGTCTATTTTACATATCAGGAAGTAAACATGTCTTAACATAGCCATATATAGCCAGAAGGAAATTACTGCCCCCTCCTTCAAATCAAGGCATTTCATTTGTTGATTAAGCCGATGGCTAGTGTACAGAGTAGAAATGGCTTCTTTCTTATCTAAGAACTTGGTGCGACTCTCCTTGTAACCAAAGGCCCCTCTGCCTTGTGTCATGTAGGACCTGGCTGTCCCTTCCTCCTGTATTTTGTCTGACCTTAAAGTAGCATTTTCCAGGGTAAATGAAGGACAAATTCAGAATACCCCTTCCTAGCTGAATAAACAGTCTGACAGAATTCCTATAGAAGCAACCATCAAAACTCAGTGTAAAACTATGCGTAAAAGTTTTCCGCTTCGTTTTGGGTTTTGCTGGTTTGTTGTGTTGTTATTGTTTCACCCATTTATATGTGTGTGTACTGTGGGAATATCGCTTTTCCTCTGTGTGTGACTCGTGAGAGTACTGTAAACTTTCCTACCAGGCCTCCACCTGCTAAAAAGGAACACTTTGAGCTTCATTCCACACACACCCTACCTGGGTACCTGCGTTTCCATGCACTGGGAAAGCTGGAGAAGGGTTGCCAACTTGAAGCTGACTCTGACTCAGTAGTGAAGAGGGAAGCCAGGGTATGGAGGCAGAGGCTACCGGAACTTGGTGGATCATTTCCATCTGTCCTGAACCAACCGGAGCAAAAGGAAGTGAGGTACCCCAAGTGACACCGAGGGCTGGAGGTGGCGACCCAGTTATGGTCCAGTTATAAAATCAATAGGACTGTCAAGAACCCAGGGGAACTTAAGTGACAGCATATTCATCCCATCGTCAGAAAAAGCCAGGCATCGGACGCTGTGTGTGCCCATCGCTCGGGAAAGCCTGCCCCGAGGGAGAGCGGAGACAGGTCAGCGCTTTCACCTTCCGTCACTGGATGCCCCCATAACAGCAGGTCTGAGGCTGCAGATTTCCCTCTGGGATTCCATCTTAAGCACATTGAGAGGAGAAAGAGTAAAGAGGAGATAACATTGGACATCGAGGAAAGAAGAAATACCCAAATCATGAGGAAGCCACCCTTCACCCACTCCGCTCGCCCCGACAGCTCTAGGAACAGGAGCTTTTTGCAACTGAGTCTCTCCTTCCAGCCCACCTCCTTTGGGTCCCTAAGCTGCAGCCTCGTCTTGGCCCCTTCTCCTGAGGAGATACAAGGTCCTAAGGAGGTAAAAAACACAAGACACAGCAGCATCCTCGTCTACACAGCTGTAATGTATTGTCAATACTTGTAATTAATATGTATTTGTCTGACTCTGGTCATGGCTGGAATGTCTAGTCCATGAACAAGGGGATAGTTAAAATCCATCACAAACAATGGTCCCTAAAGCCAGGTCTTGATTGATAGATAGATAGATAGATAGATAGATAGATAGATAGATAGATATGTAGATATATTAATATCTCTCCTTTCCTTATTTCTCTGCCAGCTTGTCTCAAGTAAAATAACCATAAACTGCATTGAATCAAAGGAGGATGCACGGGAAATCTTCTAGAACACGCTCTTTCAGAGATGTACTTTGTATGTGTGGGTAGCCGAGAAGTTGGCAGAAGACAGAAGGGGACTCCCAGGTCCCAGAAGGACAATAGAACACTCCAGCCCCAGGCATTTCCTAACCTATTATTGTTTATATGACAACACTCAAATGCTTTCATGTCACCAGGCCAGGGCCACCCAAACCAGCCCTGGCCACACCTGGAAATAAGAGTTACCTCTGCATTTTCTGTTGCCATTTTTTTCTGGCTCTAGAAGTATCTATATATGCTAGGATGTCCACACATCTCAGAGTAGTCTATTTTTTTGTTCAGATAAATATATATATATGTATTTTAGTATATTTATAGTAGGACAATTTAGTCTAATTTCTTTTGTAACAGTGATATCTTGGGGGTTTTATCATTGCTCATTCACATAACTGGTCTTTTCTGCTCTCCATCCTTCCCACTGTCCCTTGGACTGTTTTTTCTTTTCTTCTGTTGGATTCTGGTTGTCTGGAAGTGAGGAAAGATTGGAGTTTGACATCCTGGAAGACTGAGTTCCTGTCCCTGGGGTTGGGGTGGCATCTGCGTCTTTCCTCACCAGATCTGTGTTCCCCTGGCTGTCGCTCTTAAGAATCCAGGTGTGCAGGAGCAAGCCAGGTAAAACAGAGGTGTAGTTGGGACCTGGGCTTCTGGGAGCGGGGCCCTGCCCTCCTGAGATCTTAAAGGATCGAGCTTTCTGATTCCCAAAAAGACTGGAATCAAGACCCTTCTGCAAGCAAACTTGTCTCCAAGCAATTGCTGAGCCCAGGAACACTCCTGAGTTCCTCTTGGCCAGACTGTCCCCATGTCTGGCGTCCTACTTTGGATCCAGGGACCAGAGCAGGTGCAGGCACTGGCAAACCTCAGAGGAACGTGCTGCGTCTCCAGTCCATGTCCCACAGTCTCACCAAAAACCAGCGACCAGACAGCCTTGTAGCCAAAACTGAGGAGCGACGGCCCAAAGCTTCGATCTTCCTGCCCCGTCTTTCTCAGCAGCGCCAAGTGTGAAATTTGGGGCAAGGGCATCAGTATTTTTCCAGCCTCCACTTTTCCAAGCCTCTGGTCCTTGGTCAGCCCTGAGCATTCATCTGTGAGGAGAGTTTGAGCCTGAGGGAAGGTGGTGGACGGACACCAAATGGAGTGAAAAGGGTTCTTCTCCATCAGTCATTTACCTGGGATAACAAAGAAAGCCAATCAGATTGCCTCCCACGCTCAACAGGCCATCTGCTTGCCATCAGCAGCATCAGAGATTTGGGTCAAGCCAGGGCCATCTCCATCTCAGACAGCGATGATGTCCCCCACTGAAACCCCAAGAGGAAGCTAACCCAAACACAAATTCATTATCCTTGTGGTTAATTTTTCTTTTCTTCCCTTTGGTTTTGTTCCATTTTGTGGTGTTGAGAATCTAACTAGGGCCTTGGCTGTGTCAGACAAGTGGTTGACCCCCTGAGCTATTTTGGAATGTGATTCTAATCAGTTTCCCCAGCCCTAAAATTCCTGGTTAATCTGGTTTGTTCCAGAGTCAAATAAAACAGGAAAGAGAGAGAGAGAGAGAGAGAGAGAGAGAGAGAGAGAGAGAGAGAGAGAGAGAGAGAGAGAGAGAGAGAGAGAGTAGCATTGCCCTGATATTTCCCAGGTTCCCTACCTGGATAAGTAAACACTGGCTGTCTTCCCAAGAAAGAGAAGGTACACTCTGACCTTCTCCCCTTGCCTTAGAATTTCTCTAGAAATTTGCAAATGGCAATTTGAACTGAATTTGGAAGGGTCTGTCAGTAAAGTGAACTCTCCTCTCCACGTCTCGCCCTACCTCTGTCTCTCTCAGCCAAGGTCCTGAAGAAGTCTAAAAGCTAACAGGAAAGCATGGGCAGGGAGCTGGCCCAAGGACATAGCCACTTAACATGAGTTGGTCGATTTCTACTGAAAGCAAGTAAGCCTTTTCTCATCAGTTAGGTGATCTGCTCATGGAATGCAGTGCATAGTGGGTAAGGAGCTCCAGCCTGCCCACGGTATTGGAGGTGTTCACAGGGAGAATGGGTATTGCACAGATGGGCCCTGGCATTGCTACAAAATTGGACGGGAAACTCAAAGCAATTCGTGTGTGTGTGTGTGTGTGTGTGTGTGTGTGTGTGTGTGTGTGTGTGTGTGTGTGTGTCCATCCATGGCCTTGTGTGCACATGTGGCTTTCTGCATAGATATGTCTCTTGAACATTCTGGGCCCAGGTTCAAACAACATAGACAAGGACTTGGAGCACAGCTAATGGGACCACAGGTTATATGACTGGGGCATCCCAGAAGGCACCAAAGCAAGAGGGTTGCAGCATGGGACTCAGCTTCACAAGCCTTCTCCTTGCAATTTTTCTGACCCTGCCAATCATTGACCTAACCCATTCCCAGTGACCTAGCAACGACTACTTGGAGATGAGATGCATGTTGCCTTTTCCCAGGCAGCAAAGGGCCAACCCACAAAGTCCCACCTGTGGTGGCCACCACATGGTGCTTCAGCCCCTTCCCCTAGACCCTGTGCCCTCAAAGAGACACAGTGATCACCCCACAAGCCAGCCACCCACTGCCCAGGCAATCCCAAAAGCACCATTCCAAAAGGGCTTTTTTTCCCTGTTAAATAAAATACTGAACATAGTCAAGATTTTCAAAGGTCTCTGCCCACAAAATAAACCCAGAAAAATCAAAAAGGCCAAGGTAGCCATAATTCTGCTTTACAAGAAGCAAAGCTCCAGTTGCTTCAACATCCATCCCCAGAAGGCCCGCTTCCTGCTCTCTGCCTCCAGGCAACCCAGAGCTGCTGAGCTCTCCCTCACTGGGCACGATGGGTGTGGAGGAGATGAGTGAACTTCTGAGTGAGCCCAAGTCCAGGTGGTTTTGAAAAGCAAGGTAGACCAGTAGGCCAGGTTGGCCGGAACCACTTTCTTCTAAAACTAAATAAAACAGAAATCATTTTCCAAAATCTCAGCCCACAGAGGCATTGCCCAAGACACTCAGCTGCATTTAGGGGAAATGTGGGGGTCCTCAATTCTGTCCCACTTAGATGTGCTCCAAGCCACACACAGAGCTCAGACACGTCCTGCCTCCCTAGGTGAAGTTCTGTCTGGATAGACACTTAAGAGGCCCCAAGTGTCCAGCTCAACTGCACAGCTCCCAGCGTTTGGGCTTCTTCAAGTTTTGAGACATCTGAGACCAGGAGGCATCCGAGAGTCAGATGTGGTTACGGATAGTGCAGGGCAGCTGTGCTCTTTCTCTAGGCCCATTTGGCTTGAGTCTAAGCTAAGAGCAGGGAACCCCCTTTTCTACACCAGAAACTCGTTGTCATCTGTCAGTGTGCTGCTGGCACACAGTGACCATCCAGCCTGTGTTTGGGGCAAAATGAACGTGTGAGTGAAAAGCAGATGGATGTGTGGTGAAGAGGGCATTGCTGGAGTCTCAGCTGGGGCTATTGCTAATTGGGGGGAAAAAGAGTGGGAGTACCTTCTCTCTCAACTGCCTCCACTAATACCATGTCCTCTCTGATCATGTTTGGAGTCACAGCCATGCCCACGTTCAATGGTAGCCCCAAACTGACATGGGTCATGGTCTGCTCCTGTCCTGTCCTGAGGCTGGTCAGCACCTGCTGTCTTCCTGCTTGTTCTATTCAGTTCACAGGGAGGTCACACGGTGACCACAGTAGCTATCCAGTAGTTCAAGCCAAGAGTCCAGAGTAGAGGGGGTCTGGGACTTGACTAGGGCAGGAGCATGGAAGCCAGTGTCTGTAACTGGATCTCATTTCCTGAGTTGTAAGAACCAACGGTCTCTCCTTTTAAGTGAGTCCCAAAGGCCCCCCTTACAACAACAAACACTCCAACGCCATCAACTCAGACCCTCTGCCCCTCCCAGGATCCCACAGCATAAGGCTGGGGTTCTTCTGCCAGCAAAGCCATTCTGATTGCCCCACCCTTAAAGGGGGCCAAGCCAATCATATTAGCCATAATCCACCAGGGTCCTCAGCCATTTTTCTTCAGGTTGTGTTCATGGGTCCTGTTCACCCTTCATCAGTGGAAGGCTCTAGTCCTTCCTGTACATGTGACAATGCACATTGATGTGTGTGTGTTCATACATGCTCATGAGTATACACACAAGGAAGCCAACAAACCCCAGTGTTGTCTTCTGCATGTGGTGAGATGGACTTGTGACCCTTGTGTGACCTCCGGCTGCTGTCCTGTCCTGTAAAAAACGTTCAAATGTTTAAGAATTTCCAAGCAAATGGTCCCTTAATGAAGTCTGCAGCGTTCAATAAAAGATCCGGAGAAAACGAGCCTGGCAGTGTTTGGCTTATTTCTGGGAGAGGGAAGAGGCTTGGGTGTCAGAAAGGCTCGAGTGTAAGAAAGGCAGAATCTGAGAGTCTGGTAGCTCCACTTTCCCTGGAAGAGTGAGTGTATGAAAATGCAACCAGCTTGTCACCCCCAATATATAAGCCATCTTGGACTGTGTCCACAAATCAAAACCCAGAGCTGGCCTCGTGTCTCTCATGTCTACTCTATCTAGGCACTCCTTTCCCATAAAAATGTGTTTCACTACAGATGAGGTGCGTGCCTGTTATCCCAGCGCTCCTGGGAGTGGAAACCAGAGCGTAAGAGCTCCAGGCAACTGTGCTCTAGGAGACTCAGTCCCCCAAAGCCCAAAGCAAAACAAAAGCCAAAGAAGGTAGCAGCTTGTAACCCACAGGGCCAAGAGGGTGGCAGATGTACAAAGCAGCCAAAATTCCAGGAATAAGGGGAGCAGAGGGCGTGGCCGGCTGGAGGACACACCCATCATGCCATCATCTCCATTTGGTTCCTATGACCTAGGATAGCAGTGCCACATCTTACAAGAACCAGATTTCTGGGGCTGGCAAACTGGCTCAGCAAGTGAAAATACTTGCTGCCAAGCCTGGTGACCAGAGTTCAACCAGTAGGACCCACATGGTGGAAGGAGAAAAACGACCCCACACATTGTCTTCTGACCTCCACAGGTGCACTGTAGCATGCCCCCTCCCTCCCCTCCCTCTCTCACACACGCAGAAATAGACACATGTGAATGATAATGATTAGAAAGAATCAGAAATCTGTATTTCACAAGCAATCTGCCAACTTTTAAGTGTTGGTGATGAATTCTAGTTCCTTTACATGTACTAGCCAATGGAGGTACATGTGCAGGCCAGCCACATCACTGGCTGACCACAGTCACAGGCCAGTCACGGCCACATCAATGGCTGACCACAGTCACAGGCCAGCCACGGCCACAGACTGACCACCACAGTCACAGGCCAGCCACGGCCACATCACTGGCTGACCACAGTCACAGGCCAGTCACGGCCACATCACTGGCTGACCACAGTCACAGGCCAGCCACGGCCACATCAATGGCTGACCACAGTCACAGGCCAGCCACGGCCACAGACTGACCACCACAGTCACAGGCCAGCCACAGTTACAGACTGACCAGAACTGTGAACCAGAAACAACCACCAACCACTGTTGGGCTCTCTGCCCTGAGTAGCAAGGTCAAGAGTAGCCATTTGTTTCCAGCTGCTATGAACCCAGTGCCTAGCAACTTGAGGCACGTGCTTTCCCATGGTTTTTATGGTGCTAGAAGTCGGGTGATTCTAAGGTCACAACGCATCAACTGCAGGCATTCACTCCACTGAGACTGGAAGTAGAACTCAGAAGCCTCTGCTCCCGGTTGGAGATGTGGCTCTGCTGGTGGAGGGCTTGCCTAGCATGTACACTCTGTTCCCAGCACCACATCGGCCTATGATGGCTCACACTGTATTCCCAGCATCCAGGGGTGGGAGGCAGGAAAATCAGGAGGTTAAGGCCATCCTCTGCTCCATAGTAAAACCAAGGCCAGCCTGGGTTGAATATCACAGGCCAGGCCATTTTCCGTCTGATTTGAAAAAGTGTATAAGCCTAGCTTATTTCCTAAATCAAGATGTTGAAAAGGTGAGCACCGGATACGACAGCCCATCACCAGTGCCTGTAGGCCAACGGATGTTTCAAACACCCAGCATAGAGACCATCTTTCAGAAGTAAGGCTCAGCTGCTTCTTAGATCAGAGCTTGGCAGCCTCAGGCTCCCTCCTGACTGGGACCATTCTGCAGGCTGTGGGGTACTTAACAACCCTGACCCCAGTCCTGGATGCCAGGAGCACCCTCCTGCATTGCCTCTCCAGCTGTCCCTGAGGATTTGGTAGGAGTAAAATTACCTCCAATGGAGGTCACTAGAATGGGATCAAACATCAAGGTCAAAGGTCCCCCTCCTACCTCAGTCCTCCATTTCTGGAGGCAATCCTTGTCTACAGCTCTAGTCCTTCTTGGCACACATGCTCGTGCACACACATGTGCTCCTGCACACATGAACATGTGGGGTGTTTCTTTTTCCTTCCTGTGTTTCAGCTCAGTTACCTATGATCAGACCGCCCTGCCCCTCACATTCTCATTGGGTGCATCCTGGACCTCGTCCCATAGAAGGTCTCCGAGTCCTTCAGTGAGGCTGCCTCGTGGTGTCCTGTCTGTGGCAATGACTAGGCTCCTATAGCTAGGCATTCTAGTTGTCCCCACCTCCCCCTGTGACAAGTGGTGCTGACTTAAATGGCCGGTGGATGCTTCCTCTAGGCTCAACTTTCCACAGAGCTGGGATCCACCTTTCTACTCCAACGCCACCTCCCCAGCTACCATCTCCTGTCACTTGATGGCTGCAGCACCCCCTGCCAGGCTCCTCAGTTCTGTCCTTCATCTCTTCCAGGCTCTCCCTAACACAGTGGCCAGAGGGGTCCTGTCAAGCTGTCAATCTGGGAATGTCACTGCGTCCTCAGAAAGCTTCCCTGATCACATGTTGCACAAAGCCCAGGTCTTGGTAAGCTCTGTCTGGGACTCATCTTCTGCCCAGAGCCTCCGGCTCTGCCATCGTCTCCTTCCTGCTACTCAGACACGCCCACCTCACTCACCAAGTGATGCAGCCCCGCTCCCACCCAGAGGGCACCTCTGCCCTCTGTGTCTCCTGTTTTCTCCCTCATTCACCACCAGACACACTGGCCCTCTGTCAGTCAGTTTTCAGGTGCATGAAGTACATATCTACCCCAGGGCCTTTGCTCTGGCTGTCCCTTCTGCATGGAAGAATGTTTCCAGGCTAGCCCTGTGCATCTCAGAGGCTGCTCAGAGGCTGGGGACCTGCAAGGGCCTTGCTGGTAGCTTCACTTTCCCAGGAAGACTGAGTGCATAAAAATGCAACCAGCAGGCCGGGCGTTGGTGGCGCACGCCTTTAATCCCAGCACTTGGGAGGCAGAGGCAGGCCGATCTCTGTGAGTTCGAGGCAAGCCTGGTCTACAAGAGCTAGAGCCAGGACAGCCTCCAAAGCCACAGAGAAACCCTGTCTCGAAAAACCAAAAAAAAAAAAAAAAGATGCAACCAGCAGGGCTGGAGAGATGGCTCAGAGGTTAAGAGCACTGACTGCTCTTCCAGAGGTCCTGAGTTCAATTCCCAGCAACCACATGGTGGCTCACAGCCATCTACAATGAGATCTGGTGTCCTCTTCTGGTCTGCAGACAGACATGGAATAGAGGCAGGATATTGTATTCCTAGTAAATAAGTAAATCTTTAAAAACTGCAACCAGCTTATCATCCCCAGCAAGCCTCACCTCTTCCAGGTGCCAGCTTGTCAATAGCCCTTTGACCTTACAATACACGCACCGCCACCATGCCCTTCTCAGGACAGCAACCATTACCTCATAACACATTAAATTTTTTCAAGGATTTATTTCATTTTTTAATTGCGGGGGTGTGTGTATGTACACATGAATCAGGTCCCCTGGAGCTGGCATTTACAGATGTGTGGACTACACCATGATGAATGTGGGGTCTGGGAACCAAATCACGTCACTGTTAACCACTAAGCAGTATTCATTGTTAACTTCAGTCCCTGACTGCTCCTTTTTAGGGTGAAAGTCCAGTATAACATAAAGAATAAAATGGAATAGAATAGAGTCCAGTCAGTCGGGTGGTGGTGGCACAGGCCTTTAATCCCAGCATTCGGGAGGCAGAGGCAGGCGGGTCTCTGTGAGTTCGAGGCCAACCTGGTCTACAGAGCAAGTTCCAGGACAACCTCCAAAGCAATACAGAGAAATCCTGCCTCAAAAATAAAAAAATAGAGTCGAGTGGAAGTCAGCATACATTACTTAGGGAGGGAAACTGGATGTACACACACATGAGTGTCACAGCTGTGGTGGAAACTATCCCTCTTCCTGCAACTCAAGGTTACAAATATCTGAGAAATATAGTACAGTGTGGTGGCACACACTTTAAATACCAGCACTCGGGAAGCAGAGGCAGGCAGATCTCTACGTTCAAGGCCAGCCTGGTCTACAGAGAGACAGCCAGGGTTACACAGAGAAACCCTGAGTTGAAAGCAAAACAAAGTCTAAGAAGTGACAGCATGGGGACAAGGCCCCAGCTCAGCCCTAGCCAGACCACAGACATCCGGAAGCAGCTTTACCCCTCTCTGAGCTCCCCACCAGGCTGGGTCTGACCCATGCCCCTCCTCCTGTGTTTGCCCAGATACACACTTAAGGCCTGTTAATAAAGGCATGTTGTCAGGACTGCCTAGACTCTCTGATCAGCCCAGGAGTGGGTGCGCCTGAGATTGGGGCCTGTTTAGATACCTGGTTCTCCTGTCAGCCACATGGCCTCCAACAGCTAGCTATCTGGAGAGCTGTTTGTACGGAGTCAACTTGCTGGGCCTGGAGGTACCTGGAGCTGATTAGAAGCCCCACCCCCACCCCACCCCACCCCACCCCGGTGAAACACCTGAGGAAGCAGGGCCTGACAGGCAAGCCTACACTCTCTCTGAGCACACCTACATGCCATTCTCTCATTGCAGACCCAGATGTTGACAGACCGGGAGAGAAACCCCAGAATGGCAATGGGCTCCCAAGACTGTTCCCCTGTTGCCCATGGGGAAAGACTTGAGTTATACAGATGGGTGGTAAAAGAAAATCTGATTTTATTGTCTGACTTTGGGGCAATGAGCCCTGTGCCAAGCAGTGAGGGGCTGTTGAAGGGGAGCACTGGGCTTTTGGGAGGTTCCCAGCCTCTGTTGAGCCCTATGGTTCAAGATAAGTGGAGGTTTGAAGCCGCTAAGTCCAAGTTCTATCTATACCACGTCTTGGCTCTCTGACCTAGGGCTATAATTTTCCCTGTCTGGATTTCCAGTCTATGAAATGAAGACATGAATGTCACTATGTGGAGTGCTTCTGGGGACTTCAATGAAAGGCTGTAGTGTT